GGTGGGGAGGGCCCGGCTGCCGGCGGGCACCGCGAGCGCTGCCTTTGTTTTGAAGGGCCTGGGCTTCCGCCCCCCCGCGCACTCCCGCAGTGACTGGATCGGCCCCCCGGACAAGCTCTCCAACCTGCGGCCCATCGTGTTCTACGTGCCCGCCGAGGAGTCGGCCCTGGAGCGGCGGCTGCGGGAGGCGCGGCAGGAGGCCCAGGCCTGCGACCAGCGCTTCTGGGCGCGGCACAACCGCGCCTTCCAGCAGGTGAGTGAGCCCCCAGCGCCCGCCTGCCCGCCCGGAACCGGGGGCTTCGCTCTCCCCGGGGTAGGGTTCCGTTCTGCCCCTCTTGCTGGCTGTTGGTTGATACCCTGTCTTCTCATACGGTACCAGTGTCTCTGTGGTACTTTCCTTTTGGTCGTTCACTTTTCTCAAGTGACACGCACAACTGAAGAGGCTGACTGCTCTGTTGCTGTTTAGTGGCACCGAGTGGTGTTTGCCTTTTTTTCTCTTGCACTGAAAATACGACGTTCTATAGCCATGCAGCATGCAGGAGCTGTCTGTGGCTAGTGAAAAAGTTGAGAAATTTTTTTTGTGGCTCTTCTTGGTGGTGGTAAGCGAGAGAAAGTAGGTGTAACCACCAAGAGTAGAGGAAAGACATCCTCTGTTTCGCTGTCGGTGAGTTCCAACACAGCTAAAAGTGGGGGCTTTTTGGTCGTGGTCTTCCTTCCTGCTAGCAGCAGTGGTTAGGAGACACTGAATTTTTTTGGAAGAACATTAAGCGTTCAGTAAATCACCACCATTTGTGATGCTCTTTCCACATCATGTCTTTCCAAAACTTGCAAAGATCTCAGAGAGAAAAAAAAAAATAAACTTTTTTTTTTTTTAAATTCCATAGAGCTGCTTTTTTCGTTTGAAAAACCAACTAGTTACTGTTTCCATCTGCCGCGGTTTAACTCCAGCCGGCAGCTGCGCACCATCCAGCCGCTCGCTCACTCCCCTGCTGGCAGGATGGGGGAAAGAATCGGAAAAGTGAGAACACTCGTGGGTTGAGATAAAGACAGTTTAATAGGTAAAGCAAAAGCCACAAGCAAAGCAAGTAATTCATTCAGTAGGTGTTCAGCCATCTCCAGAAGCAGGGCTCCTTCATGCCTAACAGTTACTCAGGAAGATCCATCACTGAATGTCCCCCCTTCCTTCTTCCAGCTTTATATGCTGAGCATGTGGTATGGGATATCCCTTTGGTCACTTAGGGTCACCTGTCACAGCTGTGTCCCTTCCAACTTCTTCTGCACCTCCGGCCGGCTCAGTGAGAAACAGAAAAGGCCTTGATGCTGTGTTGGTTCTGCTAGAACTAAACATCTCTACAACAAAAACACATCATGCAGTGTTTTCTGCACAAATCCAAAACACAGCCCTATATTAGATACTATGAAGAAAATTAACTCTGTCCCAGTGAAAACCATCACACTGTCTTAAGTAGTTTAACTTCTTTAAGGCTACATGTTTTTCGCCATGCTCAATTCTCAGTTACACAGTACAGCACATCTACAGAGTTTGCTTGTAAACTGAAGGTTTGGATGCTGTCAAATGAAACTGAAGCTCAGCTGTAAATTTACTTCACAAATAGGTTTTATATGTCTCAGTAGAACACTTGCATTAATTCATTGATGCATGCGGGTAGCAGGATCTAACTGACAAAGTTACTGGTTTAACTTAATTCACTGAACTTAGGGAAATGTTGATGTTTCCAAGTATAATGAGTATTGCTTGTTATGTCAGAAGGTATTAAGCACTACACTGCTATGTGATTAAAAACAATGGTTAATTTCAAGGACTGAGTATATCAGATTCTAATGTGGAAAAACATATTTTAGGAAAAAGAAGAATTTATTTATTCAAGACTGAAAGCCAAGGGTCTGGAAATGAGAGATGAAACAGGTTAGTGAGATCTTTGTTTATAGTTTAGGATGCGTTCTGATTTCAGTTCAACTTCAACTATTGTTACTTTATGCTTTTTATGTGTTTTGTCACAAGTGAATCAGGAGCATGATAAAACAAGAAGGGAGGAGCTCTTCAGAGATATGCATGTGGGGGTTAGATATCTGTTGCACTGTTCTTCCCCTAATTCATTCCCTGCAGCTGGAGGCAATATGCTGAAATCCTAGCCAAGTGATATCATCATTCTGTAGTTGAAGGAGGAAGGGGCTTTTTTCTTTCACATTTCCTAACCCAGTCAGCTAGCTGAACTAAACATGTACAGCATCTGCCTCAAGTACTTGTCCTGGTTGTGTGGATAAATTCACACTCTTTGGCTCCAGGACCACAGTTTATCCAATGAATACAATGTTTTTCCTGGAGGTAGAGTAATATGGCTTCTGAGGAGACAGCAGCTGCTATCTGCCTGGCTTTGCCTGAGCACAGTTGCTGTAAAATAGTTGCCTCTCAAATTCATTATGTGAAATTGTAAAGAAGATGCCTTCCTATATAACAGTGAATTGGCCATTGTAGCATGAGATTGAATGTTTTGTTTGTAGAATAATGATCTGTTTTGAGTTTAGGAAAGCATCTGCTCTGATATTCTGTGTATCACAACCATTGTTTTTCTCTTCTTCAGTGTGAGGTTGAGAAATAATTTTAATTAAGTTCTGTGTTGTTTGGAAAACTCTGCTTTTATACTGCTGTTTTGGTTTGGGTAAGAGTAGTAACAATATACATGAACAGTTGGAACAAAACCTACTATTTTATAGAACTGAATCTACAATAAATTCTGTTGATTCCTGTATGAAGAGACAAATCAAGCACACAGCCTTCAAATAGTCTTGGAGTAAATTTATCACATAAGATGTTAATACACAGTAATATATTAGATTTGTAAATAATGACAAAACTGATCAGTAATTTACATTTGTGTAAATTTCAGTCTTGGGAGCTTTAAAATGCATTCTGGGACAGTAATAAATTGAACATCACAATTCTGTCTCCCTCATCGTATCCATGTCCCCTGGGACATTCAAATTTCACCCTCCTTTGAGAAACAATGAAAGTGCTAGAGGTCCATTGGTTCCCTAAATAATCTAAGACCTGATAAATATAACTTTTACAAGTAATAAGGGCCTAGGAGTTATGCCAGCTTCAAGATGATCAGTATTTTTAATCTGCTCCCTATGTAAGTTTTTAAAAGCTGGAAGATAAAAGCATATTAACTTGTTCAGGGTTACACAGGAAGCTTGTAGGAGCAAGGAGGCAGACCTAGCTTTCCTGCATCTGAACCCAGATGTTTTAATCCAAAGAATTATCTTGACATTTGTTATGCCAAAACTTATTTTCAGGTAAAAAAGCAACACTGAATGCAGAAGAAATGGCTGACTTTTACAAGGACTTTCTAAGTAAAAATTTTAGAAAGCATATGCAGTATAACAGGTATGTAGAAGGTATTTATGTTGGCTATTGGATATCGCAAATATCCAATTTTATGATCAAATTTAAAGTTTTAATTTTTTTTTCATAATTGGTAAAGCAGCATCTAAACCCATCATTTTAGAAAATTATTTTAAAATGCTATTATTAGCATTTGGCAGAAATTTGCATTATCATTTGAGTTCTACCGCTTATTTTTTATGTAGTTGAGAGATGAATCATGTCTGAGAATCAGATACAAGATCAGGCACTCAGTTTTTTGTCTTACCACACAAGTCTTTTGATGCTGCAAACTGGAACTGATAAATACATAGCAAAACAGCTGACATTTCTATATAACAGATTCTATTTAACTGTTTAATAAAGGCTAGTAAATTCAATTAATCTCAGAGGAAAATTGTTGAATTACAGTAATATTTAGCATTCCTGTTTTTATCATCTTGCAAACTTATAGTAAAATTGCAAGTGATTAGCCTTGAGTTTGTGTGGTGAAGCATTAGTAAAAAGATCCTCTGAACTCATCCTGTGTAGAACCTCAGGTACAATTGGGCAAGCCTACATCCACCATGCCTCTTCAAACATCTGCATTGTTTCAGTGATACTGTTTGTACAACAACTTGTTAAACTGGATTGGGGATCTGAAGCAACTGAAAAATTACTTGCAAACACACACTCCCCTGCATTCTTGGTAGAAGGCTAGAAATGAGAAAGGACTGGGAAGCCAGAGGATGATAGTACTTAATCCAATGACAATAGCACTGCTTACTGAATATAAAGCCACAACTTCAGTTTCTTCTCTGTATTGGGTTGAAGTAGTATTGGGCTCAAGGGTGAGAGGTGTTACTGGGTTCCTAATGGTGCTAGTGAGAATTCTACCATGGCTCTAACTGAGCTATAGCAAATGGTGGTTTAGACTTCTTTCTGCATATACAGTAGCATACTGTACTGTAAGAACAGTTGTACTGTAAGAGATTTTTAAAACAAATACATACATCTTGTTTATTGGAGGGGAACCTCACCAGAAACCTAAGCAACACCATGAAAAGATGGAAAGTAAAACATTGTTTTTAATAAAAGGATTGTTGTTCAAGTTGCCTATAACTGATGAGTGAGAAAGCAAATAGTGTATCTTAGAATTGGTCACCAGATGCCCTTGTTGTAGTGACCTCAGGATTGTTCCTGTCTTCATGGTAGGAGTTCAGGCTTTGTGCCTAAACATGACTTTGCTCATTGCTGCCTTGTAAAATCAGGTAGTGTCAGCAGCATTATTGTAATTTCAAAGTGGAACTACCCTGAAAGCAGTGGAGCTTTTTACAAGTATTCTGATTTTGAGGGATCAGATTCATAAAAATCTGTTTATGGACTCAGCTGTATCTTCTTGGGCAGTGTTGCCAGCTGGCCTGAAAACTGTGGCTGTTGAAGTGGTGTAACTTCTAAAATTTAGTTAAAAATTGAAGGAGCAACTGTGCATGGATGCCATGAATATTTAGTGCAGGGTACTTAGACTGAAAATACAATCTGGTTTAGGAAAAAAAATAATCAATACAGATATAGGAAATGAGACATGAAAGGGGAAAAGAACCAGTTGCAGCGTTAGCGTGATATTTTGATTTAACATGACATTTGAGGGGATAGCTCAGCACTGCTTGTCAGCATGATTTTGGCCACTAGCCTTGCTGAGAGGTTAGTATCTCAGGTTTATGTTAGATCTGTACATGCAAGGTTTCCCACAGAGATCTCAAGAGAAGACCTAAACCCCAGTGCTTAATATTCCCTGCTAGTTCTACAGTAAGCATCTTCTATTGCTTCTTGTGCAGCATTTTAGAAAATGGGGGAGTGATTCTGATTGGAAATTGGAAAGAAATTACAAAATTAGTTTGTAACAAGGGCAAGAATATGAAGCAAGTTTTCTGGCTGATACAGACTATCTTATCTATATCTTGAATTGGTTTCATAAGTCATGCATGCTGCATAAAAACTATTTAAAGATACAAACACAAACTTTGGTGATACAAAAGGCATCATCTTTAAAGGGTACTGCATTAGAAACCTAGTGTTTCCTCCATTTGGTTATATGATTAGTCTTTGAAATGTCATTTTATTTTCTTTTTCCCCACTTTATAGATGGCCAGCTCTGCCCTTTCTAACACACTCATCTTCATACGCACAAACCAATACTACCCATAGCACAGTACTGGCAGAAAATTCTTCTAGATAGCTTGATCATCAGTTTATTTCTAAAACATGAGATATGGTTACAATTATTTTATCTTACCTGATTCAAAATATAGTTGGTCATAAAACTTAACTCTTTTGCAGTTAAAACTTTCAATGTTTGTAGCCCTATGATCAACATGTACTCTGTTCATGCATGTGGATATTCACATAGGCCTTTTCATGGATTATTTAACTCCCATTAGGCAGGAAAAGTGTTGCCGCAAAGAATGGAAAAGCATGAAATGTCATTTGTCAATGCCAAAGGGTATTTTAATATAGTTTTCTACCTTTCTCCTGGTCCTGTTCTGTGTGCTGATGATTTTCCTGGCTTTGGAACCCTAGAGATTGGTATAAACGTAACTTTACTATCACGTTCCTCATGGGACAAGTAGCACTGCTGAGAGCTTTGAGGTGGCTTCGTTGGAAAAAGAAAAATGTTGGAAATTAGTGACCACAGCTTCATGAAGAATGCAACACTAGCTAGGCCTGCTATAAAATTGGTGTTTATAGTGATGTTCAGGATCTGAATTACTAATAATTGTTTGAATTTGTTAAACTATGTAAATAAAAGTTCCCATTGGTCTTAATTTATAACCAACATGTGGGTTTCCTTTGTTTTATTCCAAGAATATCTAAAATATTTTTCAACCAAAACAGCTGAGGAAATCATGAAGAACTGTTCCCCCTTTACCTTAGGTGGAAGGGATCACAACTGTCAAGTTTTTACCACAGAGTCATGGCTCCTAAATAACGTGTAATTCAGTGTGCTGTACCTCAGGTCAGAGGATGATGTCTCTGCTGACTGTTTTAGTCTAGAAAGGCAAAAATGCCTCATTTTGTGGCAGTTTTTTGGAGCAGTGGTTGTCCCCAAGTAATATAACATGGCTGAAGAAACAAATATGATTTGTGAGCATATATATAATCAGTTTAGCATAAACCTCTTTCCAGTGTGATTATTTCCTATTTTTAATAAAGATTTAATTTATTATTTCATAGAAATTACTAATATAATCTGATATTTTCTTTTAATTAAAATAAATGTCCTTATCTTGGACAGGAGTTCCTCTAACCTATGATTGGTAAAGATTCTGATCATTGAGTAATAAAGCAGATGCATGGTTGTATGGAGGAAAGCATTAGTACTGACACACACTTTCTACTGGTTCATTTCTTTTAAAAATGTGCTGTTCTCACCAGTTTCTCTGAGGCACTAAAAGAACCTGCCTGAGGAAGATTTTTCTGTCCTCAAGGTAACTAACATCAATTGGAAGCAGCTTAGTTTAAATGAAGTCTTAAAATGTTATGCCATGTATCTTTAATTTTAAAGAAACTTCATTCCTCAGAATGTTCTTCCAGGCCATTTATGCAGTGAAATGATTTTTTTGATACAACACCTACTAAGAGGATTCTGTTAAAAATAATATGTGTTGTCAAATGAAGCGTGTTTTCCTAAAGCTATGCTGTAGGGAAGCTTCTGCTCTTGGAAATGTCAGCTCAGTAGCCATTGACCTGTTTTTCATCTCTAAACATGACATGATTTATTCATAGGCTTTTTCAGCTGGTGCAGTAGGAGCTTTCTCAGTAACAACTGTAATAATTCCTTTGCAAGATTAAATTAATATTCATGATATAGTAGCTGATCATACTTTTATATAAGATGAGCATTGGGGCTAAAATGGTCACTAAATTGTGGTTTTGACTTGTGTTGTTAATAAATGAAAACAGTCATTAATAGTGTTTGCTGAGGTAATAACACTTCTAGGAAAATATCTGCAAGTGTTACTTACTGCTCAGTACTGTAAAAGGTATATATTTATTAAAAAGTTACAAAATGCCCTGTTTCTTCAGGAAAATAAATTTTCGAAATAGACTGTTGTAGGTATTTAATGTCGTTCTTCAGGACTTTACAGTAAATCCTGTCTTACAGTATACAAGCTTTGACCACAATATGAATGCACACTTTAGTAAATAGTTCCAAGGTAAAAGGATGATTGGAAAATATAATACCCTTGAAGGGCAGAGACCAGAACCCCAGTGGCCTAGTGGTTGATAGCCATATGTTCTGACAGTTTACGCACAGGATCCCTGAGGTCGTTTCATATACGCTTTTAAGTGGGTGGAGGTCAACCAAAAGATGCGTTTTCATCATCTGAGCTGCCCACTTGTATTAACACAGACTTTTGTGTCTGTCTGCTGAAACGGATCAGGAAGTGGATTCACTGCCAGAACTAACTCAAGGGAAAAAGTCTTAGATGTCAGTTGAATTAATATGCTTCCTCATGCAGATACCAGTGTTCTGCTGTTGGCATAGGGTAGATGTGGGAATTCAGGTGGAAGGTTTGGATTGTGCTTCGTTCAATTCAGTTAGAAATGTTTTCTGAACATCTAACATTAGTGTTGGTTGCCCAAAAATAATATTATCAGCAAATGCTGATTATCATGCTAGGATTCTGCTCTGAGCTGTTTGTGTGTGAGGTTCATACTTTTATATGTCTTCATTAAGATGCTGTGTGGAGTGCTGGGTCCCTTCATCTAAAGTTTAAAGAAGGAGTGAGGTATTTATCTATTAGGTAAGTATTGAGACCTCTGATTTAGAATACCTAATAAAGCTACTGTGAAAAGATGATATTAAAAATAATGTCTGAAATTTTGAGTCTCATTACCAAACCACATACATTTACTGAGATAATTACATTTTTTGAACAGCCAAAAGTTGTATCATTTTTGCCAGTGTTATATTACTTTTGATATTTTTTATTTGACTCAGAGGAGTTGTAATAATCCTAACTGCTTTCAGAAATTATTGAACATAAATCCTTTATACATCAAAGGAAGAATAAGGAGCTGCCACAGACTTCTAAAAATAAATTTTGTATGCATACAGAGGCCTGCTACAGGAACTGAAGCTAGTGAAATAGATCAAAGATTGACTTTTCTGTGCACATTTTCTGAGTATCGTAAAAATATGGGGCAGTATTCTTATCAGTTAGGTATGTAGCTAATCCTTTCAGAAGGAGCAGCAGTCTTTCATATTTAGTTGTGGCAGCATGTGCCTTTTTAATCTGTCTCATGTACTCAGTAAGTGCATAATAAATCAACAGTATTTTGGTAATATTCAAATAATTTTAGATATCTTGTATTGACTTGAAGTGGTTCTGATAATCTGTGGGTTTTTGCTATTCACGGAATTTCTCTACTGGAGCACTAATTTCAACAAAATATGAGAGGAGGAAGAGGAAGTGTCAAATGGGGGTTAAGACGCAAACCAACTAAACACTGAAGTGATTGTAGCCTCCTCACATGATTAATAAGGAACTGTGCATCTTGAAAAATGAATGCATTTCTCAATTTCATTACCAGTTGTTAAAGTAATGCTAGCAACTCCTGGGAAGATAGCTTCTGTGTTTAACTGAATATTCTTAGAGAAAAAATTAAAATCTAGTTCAAAACTCAGATTTGTTATTTAGAAGCTGACCTTTCCTGCTGGCCCCATTTTAAGGGGACAGTTCTGCTTGCTATCACTCAGCAAGATTGGCAGCCTTCTGGGCAATCAGATTTAGCCAAACAAGAACTAATTTGCATCTTGCACAGTGCCCACAGGCCAGTCTTTTGCATAATGACTGGGAGACTGAAGTGTTTTCAGGAAAGGATAATATGTGCCTGGAACTGTAATATGCATGCATAACATTTTCATAATAAAAATTGTATCCACTGATTGCTGTAAACTGATTCATAGAATAATAACTGCATAATGGAATCTTCAGGTTCATTTCTAAAAAACAACAGAACCAAAAGTTACTTTTATTTCTTATGAGCTTATTTCTTAAAAACAGTTTATAAGTACATGGGATGTAATAATCTTGAAATACGTGCTCATTCATATTAATTATGAAATAAATGAGTTCTTTGTGCCTTGAATTTGCATTCATTAATGGATTAACGTTTACCCAAGCATTGTGAGATGTAGTTGATTGATATATTCAAACAACAGATGCTGTGGAAGTGCCAAAGCAATACTTTTGGCTAGAAATAGGGAAAAAAATTACATGGTTCCTTTTAAAGTGTGATCTTAGGAGAAATGTTGTAGTACTACCCACAGTCAAAGTCAGTTTTAGAAGCCACGTAGGTGAAGAAATTACCCTCATTTCATACAGCTGCTGGTGCTTTACTAGTTCCAAGCAGATATGCATTTAATCAAGTCTTATATTTTGCAGGGAAAGGCACAGTGATTTTACTTCCTAGTGTATTCAGATTCTCATCCTCAGGGGTGGCCCCAGGTGTGTTGTGACCAGGGCCTGAGATGGCAGGAGGCAGCAAGAATGACTCTCTTCATCTCCTGAGACTGCCAGGAGGCAAGTAGCACTCGGCCTAAGATGGAGTAGCCCTGAAGGGTCTTTGAATGGACCCTGACTGGCATGAGTTCCTGGCAGCCCCCACACCAGTCAGGAATTGCTGGCGTTCGGCAGGATTCCGTTCACACCGCTGCCTCCAGAGAGCCCACTGATATGATTCAGCTGCAGAATTGGCTGTGGTAACTTCATCTGCTGAGCCAAAACACATTAACAGGCAAAGTGCAAGTTTCAGAATCATAAGAAATTCAGGTCAGTACTCATTGTTAAAGAACTTCCTGTTGACAGATTTTAGCTCTGTCTTTGTAACAAAGCCCTGACATGGAAAATTTTTGATATGACAATGAGCGCGTAGCATATATTGGCTGTTTCTAAAGGGTTCCAGAAAACTTAACAGGTTTTAATTTCTAGAATTATTTGAATAATTAGAAGTCTAGATTCTTTGGGGGAGTGTGGGTTGCAAAACAGATTTTGTAGTCAAGGCTATATCAGAGGAGAAAATCCATGAATTGCTAATTTCAGAAGAGATTGACTGCCTCGATTGCTTTCCAAGTGGTTCTATTGTTTTGGAGTGTTGTATAGAAAAAAGATGGTATGACACAGCATAAATATTCTGTAGCAAACCAAGTCAAGACAGTTCTGACCTTAGTAGCTATAAATACTTGGGAAGAAAACTTTCATTTGGCCAGATTTTATGAGACTGAAAGACAAAAATGGGAACTAAATTCCAATGAATATGTAAGAAAATGTCTTCTGGATTTGCCAATCTTTTTCTCACATTTAGCAAAGTAATACTTCACTTTTAATGTCATACCTGGAAAACCTCCAGTTTCCTCAGGCCTCATGAAAAATTCCACCACGAAAACCAGAACAAAATACTAAGCTGACATATGAGTAAATAGCCACGGGTGCTAATTTGTTTCAAAGGAGAATTCAAGCTCACTTCAAAGAAAATGCCATCTTTGCCATAGGATATTATAGAACAGTTTTACTTGACAAGATATGCTCAATTCATTTGCTCTGCTCCTTTGCTGCTGCTTCCCTGGTGGTGCATTTGCTGTTGAGAAAATCTAGATCTGTTCAGTGTGACACCTGGAGACTTGCTGGGCATGCCTAACAATTACTGCAGTATCACAGCCATAAATCCAGTTGCCACAGGATGGAGTAAAACAGGCTGATGCTGGGAGAATGTGGCTGAAGAGTTGCCACTGGACAGGGCATGTTTCCATCTTAGGAAGATT